GGTACCCGGGCAGTACTACATCCATCACACAAATCAAGTGATCTGTATGGCGCATATCTGTTTGGTGCCTCTGTGTATCAACGTTTATGTATGCAAATAAATAAATTGAACTATAGATTCAAAATCTCCTATTCAAGCGTCTTAGGAGGTATTCAGAAATGTGTTCATAAAGGTGAATGCATTCCACGTGATTTGGAAAAGGTCAAGGAGTTCGAGAAACTTCATTGTAGTTCAGTTAAGAGGTTCATACTCTTCGTCGTAACAGGAGAAGAGTGTGGTAGAGATTATGGTTACTTGATTTTGATAGAACAAAATGTCATTATCAGGAAGCTAAAAATATCTGTAGACCTACTAAGGCATCTATAGAATACCTCAAACGCTTATACTTGTGCCTAGACCAAAAGTTCTAGATAAGAGGAAATAGTCCAACATTATGGGGAAACAGTAGTACTTCATCGTTAGTGGGGGACGAATATGGTAAATCTCAGGTATTCCACAATTGCATTAGCTATTTATGTACCGTGGTGGTGTCCTCCCGTCCATTTCATTCAAACCCATACACACACGGAGATCATTGTGGAACTTGACATTTTCAGTATGTTAAATGAACTTAACAAAGGAAAATCCACAGGACCTGAGAAGATGCATTCTAGGTCACAAAAGGAACAGAGAAAATTTGTCGAGAACCTCTTTAGTATACATAATAATCTGCCTGTAACCTGAGGTAGATTACCAGAAGACAGAAGGGATGGTACAGTATATTCTATCTTTAAAACAAGTACAAGACATAAACGTGAGAACTATCGATCCAGCAGCCTAACCAGCGTGGTTGTTAAAATTTTAATAAGGACTATTCTGAAGGAGTTGTTTAGGTAGCTAGACAAAAACCGGTTCCTTTCTGATAAAGCAGCATTGCTTTAGAACAGGTTATTGATGTCTCTCTAAATTATTAGTGACCTATGAAAGCTAGTGAGCTCATAAAAATCAAACGTTACTTATAAACGTAACCTTTTTTCAATTTAGTCAGAATCTTGAAAAAGTTCCACGCAAACCTGCTTCGGTTTGGGTACCCGGGCAGTACTACATCCATCACACAAATCAAGTGATCTGTATGGCGCATATCTGTTTGGTGCCTCTGTGTATCAACGTTTATGTATGCAAATAAATAAATTGAACTATAGATTCAAAATCTCCTATTCAAGCGTCTTAGGAGGTATTCAGAAATGTGTTCATAAAGGTGAATGCATTCCACGTGATTTGGAAAAGGTCAAGGAGTTCGAGAAACTTCATTGTAGTTCAGTTAAGAGGTTCATACTCTTCGTCGTAACAGGAGAAGAGTGTGGTAGAGATTATGGTTACTTGATTTTGATAGAACAAAATGTCATTATCAGGAAGCTAAAAATATCTGTAGACCTACTAAGGCATCTATAGAATACCTCAAACGCTTATACTTGTGCCTAGACCAAAAGTTCTAGATAAGAGGAAATAGTCCAACATTATGGGGAAACAGTAGTACTTCATCGTTAGTGGGGGACGAATATGGTAAATCTCAGGTATTCCACAATTGCATTAGCTATTTATGTACCGTGGTGGTGTCCTCCCGTCCATTTCATTCAAACCCATACACACACGGAGATCATTGTGGAACTTGACATTTTCAGTATGTTAAATGAACTTAACAAAGGAAAATCCACAGGACCTGAGAAGATGCATTCTAGGTCACAAAAGGAACAGAGAAAATTTGTCGAGAACCTCTTTAGTATACATAATAATCTGCCTGTAACCTGAGGTAGATTACCAGAAGACAGAAGGGATGCTACAGTATATTTTATCTTTAAAACAAGTACAAGACATAAACGTGAGAACTATCGATCCAGCAGCCTAACCAGCGTGGTTGTTAAAATTTTAATGAGGACTATTCTGAAGGAGTTGTTTAGGTAGCTAGACAAAAACCGGTTCCTTTCTGATAAAGCAGCATTGCTTTAGAACAGGTTATTGATGTCTCTCTAAATTATTAGTGACCTATGAAAGCTAGTGAGCTCATAAAAATCAAACGTTACTTATAAACGTAACCTTTTTTCAATTTAGTCAGAATCTTGAAAAAGTTCCACGCAAACCTGCTTCGGTTTGGGTACCCGGGCAGTACTACATCCATCACACAAATCAAGTGATCTGTATGGCGCATATCTGTTTGGTGCCTCTGTGTATCAACGTTTATGTATGCAAATAAATAAATTGAACTATAGATTCAAAATCTCCTATTCAAGCGTCTTAGGAGGTATTCAGAAATGTGTTCATAAAGGTGAATGCATTCCACGTGATTTGGAAAAGGTCAAGGAGTTCGAGAAACTTCATTGTAGTTCAGTTAAGAGGTTCATACTCTTCGTCGTAACAGGAGAAGAGTGTGGTAGAGATTATGGTTACTTGATTTTGATAGAACAAAATGTCATTATCAGGAAGCTAAAAATATCTGTAGACCTACTAAGGCATCTATAGAATACCTCAAACGCTTATACTTGTGCCTAGACCAAAAGTTCTAGATAAGAGGAAATAGTCCAACATTATGGGGAAACAGTAGTACTTCATCGTTAGTGGGGGACGAATATGGTAAATCTCAGGTATTCCACAATTGCATTAGCTATTTATGTACCGTGGTGGTGTCCTCCCGTCCATTTCATTCAAACCCATACACACACGGAGATCATTGTGGAACTTGACATTTTCAGTATGTTAAATGAACTTAACAAAGGAAAATCCACAGGACCTGAGAAGATGCATTCTAGGTCACAAAAGGAACAGAGAAAATTTGTCGAGAACCTCTTTAGTATACATAATAATCTGCCTGTAACCTGAGGTAGATTACCAGAAGACAGAAGGGATGCTACAGTATATTCTATCTTTAAAACAAGTACAAGACATAAACGTGAGAACTATCGATCCAGCAGCCTAACCAGCGTGGTTGTTAAAATTTTAATAAGGACTATTCTGAAGGAGTTGTTTAGGTAGCTAGACAAAAACCGGTTCCTTTCTGATAAAGCAGCATTGCTTTAGAACAGGTTATTGATGTCTCTCTAAATTATTAGTGACCTATGAAAGCTAGTGAGCTCATAAAAATCAAACGTTACTTATAAACGTAACCTTTTTTCAATTTAGTCAGAATCTTGAAAAAGTTCCACGCAAACCTGCTTCGGTTTGGGTACCCGGGCAGTACTACATCCATCACACAAATCAAGTGATCTGTATGGCGCATATCTGTTTGGTGCCTCTGTGTATCAACGTTTATGTATGCAAATAAATAAATTGAACTATAGATTCAAAATCTCCTATTCAAGCGTCTTAGGAGGTATTCAGAAATGTGTTCATAAAGGTGAATGCATTCCACGTGATTTGGAAAAGGTCAAGGAGTTCGAGAAACTTCATTGTAGTTCAGTTAAGAGGTTCATACTCTTCGTCGTAACAGGAGAAGAGTGTGGTAGAGATTATGGTTACTTGATTTTGATAGAACAAAATGTCATTATCAGGAAGCTAAAAATATCTGTAGACCTACTAAGGCATCTATAGAATACCTCAAACGCTTATACTTGTGCCTAGACCAAAAGTTCTAGATAAGAGGAAATAGTCCAACATTATGGGGAAACAGTAGTACTTCATCGTTAGTGGGGGACGAATATGGTAAATCTCAGGTATTCCACAATTGCATTAGCTATTTATGTACCGTGGTGGTGTCCTCCCGTCCATTTCATTCAAACCCATACACACACTGTGATCATTGTGGAACTTGACATTTTCAGTATGTTAAATGAACTTAACAAAGGAAAATCCACAGGACCTGAGAAGATGCATTCTAGGTCACAAAAGGAACAGAGAAAATTTGTCGAGAACCTCTTTAGTATACATAATAATCTGCCTGTAACCTGAGGTAGATTACCAGAAGACAGAAGGGATGCTACAGTATATTCTATCTTTAAAACAAGTACAAGACATAAACGTGAGAACTATCGATCCAGCAGGCTAACCAGCGTGGTTGTTAAAATTTTAATAAGGACTATTCTGAAGGAGTTGTTTAGGTAGCTAGACAAAAACCGGTTCCTTTCTGATAAAGCAGCATTGCTTTAGAACAGGTTATTGATGTCTCTCTAAATTATTAGTGACCTATGAAAGCTAGTGAGCTCATAAAAATCAAACGTTACTTATAAACGTAACCTTTTTTCAATTTAGTCAGAATCTTGAATAAGTTCTACGCAACGGGATGTGATCTAAGACAATCGATACCGGGATTACAGGCAACATATTTATTGGGGTAGAGGATTTCCTATTTGCGCGTCAACAAGGAGTACAGATTAACTGGGAGTCAACTAGCTGACAAACTGTGCTTGGCGGAGTACTTCAGAGTACTGTTTTAGGGCCGCTGTTGTTTCTCCTTTATGCAAATGACCTTCATAGTCGCCTATCACCATCGGTTTTGCTTTGTGCTGACGACATCCATTGTTATACCAAAGAATCATAGTGAAAATGGTTTATGAGAAATCGGCATCTGAAATTCACTCTTTTTTCTTGTCCTTTTAATTAGAGAATTTACGAGAAAACTCTAAAAATGTTCACAAACCCAGAACAAATAACTTGTCAGCTGACTATCAACCTTCACATTGAATCATCAACGAATGGCATTCATTACGTCAACACGTGATTGAAGCTCCATCTGTCGACTATTTCAAAGGAAAGTTGGATAAGCTGAGAGACCACCATTATCAAGACTAACACAATCCACCTAGCCTCCTCTAATTCAGGATGGAAAATGAAACAGGACAGTATTTCATGACGAGTTACTAATATTTAGCTTATTTTCACTTCATATATGTAGGTTCTAACCAGAGGTACTAATTATTCCCTACCACTAGTCATGGAAGCCTGTCAAGCAAAAATGTTTATTCTGTTCACAACTCATTGGACAATTTGATGTAAGTGCATCAATCAAGTAATGCGTTACTAACTGGCATGCTATGAAAGGTGACAATACATTTCGCGTATGTTAGGAATGTGATTTCTCAAAGATTTAGTTTCTGAAATATAAAGATGAAATTAAAAGGAAGGTTGTTGTATCATTTAAGACCAATCACTTTGATGGCGAGGTAAATTAGAGTAACTAGTTATATATTTTCTCAGGATTCTTTAGATAGTTATTTTGCTTTAGCGGTTGAGAAGTGGACAGATAGTAGTTCAAGTGAACAATTCAGTAAGTTTTCGAGCGACTTTCTGTAGCTTTCAGTTGCATTCCGAAGGAAAATCGCCCCATACGTTCTAAGCCTGAAGTTAATTATTTTTCATCAAGTAATTCTTTTGTTATTGATCCTATTTTTTCCTAGGATTTAATATGTCAAGAGTTGAAAATATTTTGGGAACAGTTGGGCGATACTTGTTTGCCACCGGCCTTAGAGTTAGTTCGTGATATTATATGATATTTCTGTAGCCTAGTCGCTAATTTGGCATGTGATATTAGGGAGGATTTTTTCAAACACATTGATGATTTTTTACCGCTGGTTGTTAATGCTATAATAAGAAATTCGAAAAATGCAGAGTTTCTGGCCAATTGTTTCAATTGCTTGTCACATTTGGTTTATTTCTTACATCGGCCCATGATTAGGAACATTCGGAAAATTTTAAAGTACTTGTCATTTCTTATTCTGTCATTCATATTAGATGCTTTCTACCCTTGCTATCTCACTGCTCTTCTGACATACCAAGGTTCACAGCTGAATGTCTAGCCTTCTTGTTTAGAAAGTTTGGAGATAAAATTGCGTTGTTCCATATTTTGGAAGAAATGATTGAAAATCCTGAGGTTTGATTTATTTCTGAAATTTTTCGACATCATATTTAGTGCCTCGGAGCTGTATTAACAGAAATGTTGTCAGGTGTTGGTGAAAAAGTGCATACAACTTCTTTAGAGGTAATACATTTTACACCTTAAAATTGTTAGGTTCTTCCTCGTTTATTAGATTCTCTATTTAGCTTAAACTGTGATAGTAAGCAGTCTGTACACTTGGTTTTTGATGGCCATAAAAACAAAACAACCCCACCAGCCGTTAGTGGTACCTCCACGGAGATGACGAGTTCACCGAACGATTGCTGTTCCACTTCGAAAAGCATTATTGCTGTAAGTTATTCACTGTCACAATTAGTAAAGCGGTCTCCATCTTCTGAACAAATAAACTACATTATTCAACATTTGACCTGTCAATGCCAACGCTTATCAACTATTCCTAATCATCAGTATTTTCGCGAATATCTTACACTCCTGACTAGTTTCCTCCAGTCAGTTGCAAAATCTGAATTTATGCCTTTATTTGAAGAAAATATTAGCAAGGTCAGTTTCCTTTTTACAGTTATTTTTTCTCTCCCATACTTTAAATATAATACTAAGCACAAGTAAGCAAAATGTTGATCCATAAAAGTTTGGTTTATTATCCTAAAGCAACCTAATAACATGTTCGTCAAGTTATTCTGGTGATTTGTCTGTTATTGAATTTCCTGTACTACACCTGCTATCTGTTTGAGACTGTATTTAAGACCAGTGTACTTTTGCAGGTTTGTGATTCATCTGTTTATGTAAAAAGCTTGTTTCATGTCTGGTATTCCCAGGACCCTGTGGTATCTCCGTCCAATTTCGCTAGCGTTGTTATCGCACTATGGGCTAATACACAGACCACTGATCGATTGGACCATAGATTAATATTACGTTGGCTCAGGGGTACGGAACTAGCTTAGGGAAACAAATATAGCGTTCACAATCGGCCAGACGTAACAGTTTCGGAAAACCTGACTCAGTATTTGGTAATTATATTCATATTTCCGAGTATTTATTGACCTGAATACAAAATCTTCACCGCAAACGAGTTACTGTTTGAGTCCGAAAATGAAAGTTAGAGCATGTAAAATAAAAAGTATGAATATATGGAAACTTGAAATGAGATTATATAGTACTAGGCAATTGCAAATATCGTTTGTATAAAGAGCTAGGGGAGAGCAAAAACGTCTTCATTAATATTCGTCTTCATATCAGTACATGCGCTCGGATACTGTCCAGGGTCTCAGATCGAAATAAATGGTCTTCATTGATCACTTTCCGAAGCTTTGACCTACAGGTCTAATCCTTAGAATTGTTGGCCATCGTCAGGATAAGCAATTGCATGGGAGCTAGTAATCAAATGTTGGTTATAACACCATATGATTCGTCAGGATCCTATGGTCTACGTTCTCTAAATTTAGGATTTTTCCGCTCTTCTAAGTAAATTCCTCGTATCTGCCAACTTAGTTTGAGGGCTAGTTGTTCTCTTTCCGTTCTCTCGCTATGTTATAACTGTTCAGGTTAAAGTAGGATGAAAATAATTGCATCAGCTCATTATTGATAGCCGTTAGTGTCAAACGTTCTCATTATATTTACAAACGTATTAACTTCTGTAGTCAAAATTTCCTAAGAGTAATGGTGGCCATTACCTCATGGATTTCTGTGAACTTCGTATTTGTTAAAGTTCTTAATTGTTCATTTATTTACATACATAAACGTTGGTACACAGAGGCACCAAACAGATATGCGCCATACAGATCACTTGATTTGTGTGACGGATGTAGTACTGCCCGAGTGCCCAAACCGAAGCAGGTGGTTTTCTTAGGGGCCCACCCCTCGAACCTTTGACCTGAAGATCTAATCCATAGGGCAGTAGAGCAACGTAAGGAGATTCAGTCTCATAGTAGTCGGTGACTAACAGTAGGTTCATACGCCATTTGTTTCCTTGGGATCCTGGAACCCATGTGCACCATCAGTTAGGAATGACGGTTTTCCAACCTCCCTAAATGGATCCTTCGTATCCACCAACCCGGTTAAAGCACCTGAAATTCGCTTTTGTCCTCTCAATTTCGTAGACAACACCCTCGTGGATAGAAGACAGTGAGTATGACTGCCCTGACAGTGGTCGTATCAATATGGCTATTTGAGAGCACTTCGAGAGGGAGTGTTCACTTTACTCTCGACCATGACAAGGCATTTGGGGGCTCTGTAATTTGTTCCAAGTAACAAAGCATAATCATTGGCTACCAAGTAGATGTTTATTTATGGCTTATAATTTTCTCTTTCTTATCTAGATCCTCATAACTTTGATCAACTGTTATTCATCACCAGAGGTGCTCAACTTATGTTGCATTTTCCTACAGTTTGTATCTAGAAGATACAATCCTTATGACTTCATTAAATCAGTAAGTTCTAATTCCTTATTTGAACTTGAGGCAAATTTAGGTAGTTCAATGTAAAAATCAAACACTAGAAAGTCGGCTTGAATTTTTGAAGAACTTGGCGAATTGGCAATATTTCGATAGAGTAAGTTAACAATGAATTTCTTTCGTTATACAATGACCTCACGATTATTTATTTATTTATTTATTTATATAAACACATATATATTGATACAAAATTGCACCAGGTACATATGCGCCACACTATTTGTGTGTGTGGGTTGTGATACTGCCCGGGTGCCCAAACCGAAGCAGGTAGTTTTCTTAGGGGGCCACACCCCGAGCCTTTGACCAAAAGGTCTGATCCACAAGGCAGTGGAGCATCGTGAGGAGATGCAGTCCCATGGTAGCCGTTGACCAATGACAGGTTCGTCCGCCATTCGTTCCATCAGGATACTGGAGCCCATGTGCACCATTGGTTTGGAATCAGGGTTTTCCAACTCCCTTAGGTGGACTTTCCGTGTCCACCAACCCGGTTAAAGCGCCAGACATTCGCTTTTCGTCCTCTCACTTTCGTAAACAACACCCCCGCCACGAGAAGGCAGTGAGTAGGACTTTTGTGGCAGAGGTTATATATTCGCTGGCCATATGAGAGCATTTCGAGAGGGAGAGGTGACTCTCCCCACTCTCGGCCGTACCAGGGCGTTTGGGGGCATACCAGTGCATTTGGGGGCACCTCACGATTGCCAACAAGAAATGTAAGTTCCTCCTTTACTCCCCATAATACAAAAAACAATCACACTCTCAATGCACGATTTCATTTTTCCACAGTGTAAATCAACTCCAGAGCGACATGTGAAGACCTCAGGGTCATTATAAACAACATGAGTCACAATCGTTTTTAAGTTAACTAAATTAATACAGCGTCAGCAGGAAAAACAAACCTTCAGAGTGAAATGAGACGACAAACAAAAATAACAACCCCTATTTACGTGGAGTTAAGAAATGTCACTGTTGAAAATAAAGTTTCCAAATGAAATGAACGCTCATCACGTTACGAAGGATTACCATCACATGAATAATTCTGGACAAACGATAAAAAGATTACTCATGTTGCTTGATGTTTTAGAGTGCACATCAGAGTCAGCTGCATTCGGTTATACGTCTACGAGTGTAGTGTTAACTGTGTGCGAAATGGAGATGCGATATGATAGTGTTGGAATTATTTCCACATGATATTGCAACATTTGTTTAGTTGTTTGACGTGTGATTGTGGTGTTGATGTGTTGTAATTTGTGATAATTGTATGCGATTTTGTTTGCTGAATGTGTTGAGTTGTGGTAGTTGTGTTTGTTGGAGGATGTGGATGTGGATGATGATGATGATGTGGAGGAGTTGTTGTTGGTTGTAGTGAATGTGTATGAAGTTGATGGTTGTGACCCCACTATGGAGTGATCACACTTGGTGTTGATCTGATGTTTGTTGGGGTAAATTGATGAGGCTTGATCGATCTACACATGTTGTGCATCGTGGACATGTGTGTGAACCAATCAGGGTACATGATTGCGTGTAATTGAGTAGTGGAATGTAGTAGTGGTGGATGTTTGTGTTTTTGTGTTGATTGTGATTAGTTATCACGTGTGTATTTGTGGTAGGTGTAGTTATTGTGATTGATTGATTGATTGGTTGATTGATGGATAGATTGCTTATGTTGGTTGATGTTTGTGAGTGCACATCAGAGTCAGCTGCATTCGGTTATACGTCTACGAGTGCAGTGTTAACTGTGTGCGAAATGGAGATGCGATATGATAGTGTTGGAATTATTTCCACATGATATTGCAACATTTGTTTAGTTGTTTGACGTGTGATTGTGGTGTTGATGTGTTGTAATTTGTGATAATTGTATGCGATTTTGTTTGTTGAATGTGTTGAGTTGTGGTAGTTGTGTTTGTTGGAGGATGTGGATGTGGATGATGATGATGATGTGGAGTAGTTGTTGTTGGTTGTAGTGAATGTGTATGAAGTTGATGGTTGTGACCCCACTATGGAGTGATCACACTTGGTGTTGATCTGATGTTTGTTGGGGTAAATTGATGAGGCTTGATCGATCTACACATGTTGTGCATCGTGGACATGTGTGTGAACCAATCAGGGTACATGATTGCGTGTAATTGAGTAGTGGAATGTAGTAGTGGTGGATGTTTGTGTTTTTGTGTTGATTGTGATTAGTTATCACGTGTGTATTTGCGGTAGGTGTAGTTATTGTGATTGATTGATTGATGGATGGATAGATTGCTTATGTTGGTTGATGTTTGTGAGTGCACATCAGAGTCAGCTGCATTCGGTTATACGTCTACGAGTGCAGTGTTAACTGTGTGCGAAATGGAGATGCGATATGATAGTGTTGGAATTATTTCCACATGATATTGCAACATTTGTTTAGTTGTTTGACGTGTGATTGTGGTGTTGATGTGTTGTAATTTGTGATAATTGTATGCGATTTTGTTTGTTGAATGTGTTGAGTTGTGGTAGTTGTGTTTGTTGGAGGATGTGGATGTGGATGATGATGATGATGTGGAGGAGTTGTTGTTGGTTGTAGTGAATGTGTATGAAGTTGATGGTTGTGACCCCACTATGGAGTGATCACACTTGGTGTTGATCTGATGTTTGTTGGGGTAAATTGATGAGGCTTGATCGATCTACACATGTTGTGCATCGTGGACATGTGTGTGAACCAATCAGGGTACATGATTGCGTGTAATTGAGTAGTGGAATGTAGTAGTGGTGGATGTTTGTGTTTTTGTGTTGATTGTGATTAGTTATCACGTGTGTATTTGCGGTAGGTGTAGTTATTGTGATTGATTGATTGATGGATGGATAGATTGCTTATGTTGGTTGATGTTTGTGAGTGCACATCAGAGTCAGCTGCATTCGGTTATACGTCTACGAGTGCAGTGTTAACTGTGTGCGAAATGGAGATGCGATATGATAGTGTTGGAATTATTTCCACATGATATTGCAACATTTGTTTAGTTGTTTGACGTGTGATTGTGGTGTTGATGTGTTGTAATTTGTGATAATTGTATGCGATTTTGTTTGTTGAATGTGTTGAGTTGTGGTAGTTGTGTTTGTTGGAGGATGTGGATGTGGATGATGATGATGATGTGGAGTAGTTGTTGTTGGTTGTAGTGAATGTGTATGAAGTTGATGGTTGTGACCCCACTATGGAGTGATCACACTTGGTGTTGATCTGATGTTTGTTGGGGTAAATTGATGAGGCTTGATCGATCTACACATGTTGTGCATCGTGGACATGTGTGTGAACCAATCAGGGTACATGATTGCGTGTAATTGAGTAGTGGAATGTAGTAGTGGTGGATGTTTGTGTTTTTGTGTTGATTGTGATTAGTTATCACGTGTGTATTTGTGGTAGGTGTAGTTATTGTGATTGATTGATTGATTGATGGATAGATTGCTTATGTTGGTTGATGTTTGTGAGTGCACATCAGAGTCAGCTGCATTCGGTTATACGTCTACGAGTGCAGTGTTAACTGTGTGCGAAATGGAGATGCGATATGATAGTGTTGGAATTATTTCCACATGATATTGCAACATTTGTTTAGTTGTTTGACGTGTGATTGTGGTGTTGATGTGTTGTAATTTGTGATAATTGTATGCGATTTTGTTTGTTGAATGTGTTGAGTTGTGGTAGTTGTGTTTGTTGGAGGATGTGGATGTGGATGATGATGATGATGTGGAGGAGTTGTTGTTGGTTGTAGTGAATGTGTATGAAGTTGATGGTTGTGACCCCACTATGGAGTGATCACACTTGGTGTTGATCTGATGTTTGTTGGGGTAAATTGATGAGGCTTGATCGATCTACACATGTTGTGCATCGTGGACATGTGTGTGAACCAATCAGGGTACATGATTGCGTGTAATTGAGTAGTGGAATGTAGTAGTGGTGGATGTTTGTGTTTTTGTGTTGATTGTGATTAGTTATCACGTGTGTATTTGTGGTAGGTGTAGTTATTGTGATTGATTGATTGAGTGATTGGTTAATTGTTGGATAGATTGCTTATGTTGGTTGATGTTTGTGAGTGCACATCAGAGTCAGCTGCATTCGGTTATACGTCTACGAGTGCAGTGTTAACTGTGTGCGAAATGGAGATGCGATATGATAGTGTTGGAATTATTTCCACATGATATTGCAACATTTGTTTAGTTGTTTGACGTGTGATTGTGGTGTTGATGTGTTGTAATTTGTGATAATTGTATGCGATTTTGTTTGTTGAATGTGTTGAGTTGTGGTAGTTGTGTTTGTTGGAGGATGTGGATGTGGATGATGATGATGATGTGGAGTAGTTGTTGTTGGTTGTAGTGAATGTGTATGAAGTTGATGGTTGTGACCCCACTATGGAGTGATCACACTTGGTGTTGATCTGATGTTTGTTGGGGTAAATTGATGAGGCTTGATCGATCTACACATGTTGTGCATCGTGGACATGTGTGTGAACCAATCAGGGTACATGATTGCGTGTAATTGAGTAGTGGAATGTAGTAGTGGTGGATGTTTGTGTTTTTGTGTTGATTGTGATTAGTTATCACGTGTGTATTTGCGGTAGGTGTAGTTATTGTGATTGATTGATTGATTGGTTAATTGATGGATAGATTGCTTATGTTGGTTGATGTTTGTGAGTGCACATCAGAGTCAGCTGCATTCGGTTATACGTCTACGAGTGCAGTGTTAACTGTGTGCGAAATGGAGATGCGATATGATAGTGTTGGAATTATTTCCACATGATATTGCAACATTTGTTTAGTTGTTTGACGTGTGATTGTGGTGTTGATGTGTTGTAATTTGTGATAATTGTATGCGATTTTGTTTGTTGAATGTGTTGAGTTGTGGTAGTTGTGTTTGTTGGAGGATGTGGATGTGGATGATGATGATGATGTGGAGTAGTTGTTGTTGGTTGTAGTGAATGTGTATGAAGTTGATGGTTGTGACCCCACTATGGAGTGATCACACTTGGTGTTGATCTGATGTTTGTTGGGGTAAATTGATGAGGCTTGATCGATCTACACATGTTGTGCATCGTGGACATGTGTGTGAACCAATCAGGGTACATGATTGCGTGTAATTGA